CAAAAATAAGTGAAAACAAAGAGACATGCCCTTTTGATTAGGAACGGATACAAATACGTTACGTAATACAATGAGATTCAAACGCTTTGAAGATGTTTTATTTTAAGTTAAACCGAAATATATACAAATCAAATCAAACTTTTTAAATATAAAAATATGATTTGTAAGTCAAGTCAAATTTGTTGGTGAAATCAAATATTTTATGCATTTATAATGAACTACTAAAGTGAACAAAACGTTTATCTGTACTCGTTCAACTTTGCCTGTACGAGAAAACAGCAAACTTCCTATGTTTCAAATATACAGAAACATTCAAAAGGTCAGAGATATATAATGAAATTCAACAAAAATATCTAAGATTAAAAATGGCTTTTAGAATAAAGTACCATAAGGAGGGGAATATATTAACTAAATAATAAGAAAAGCTCAATATAGTTTTCCTGTAAACGTCCCAGATTTTATTCTACCGGGCGATCAAGTGAATTTCATAAATGCATAATTTTCTAAATATTTTTCTTTATTTTAAAAATTTTAACTTAAATATATATATATATATAAAAGATAAAAGGATTATTGGGCAAATACCGCAAAAAAATGAAAAAAAATGCGTAAAGGCAAACCGTAGACACGTGTTTCTGACTATTGGTCTTCATCAGTACGGTGTAGCCAAGTTCAAAAGAGAGTGGAACTAGCGATGAAATCAAATCAACAGGAGATCACTCAAGAAGCCAACCACACATTTGTGGACTGTGCTAACATTCCCAGTGATTACTAGGAAAATATTAGCGTCGCCACGAAGGCAGTTATAGCCGCTATGAAGATGCATCTAAGCCCAGGGAAACTAAACAAGAAAAGGTTTAGTGCGGTGAAAAAATATAAAAGATAAAAGGATTATTGAGTGATCTCCTGTTGATTTGATTTTATCGCTAGTTCCATTCTCTTTTGAACTTGGCTGCACCGTACTGATGAAGACCAATAGTCAGAAACACGTGTCTACGGTTTGCCTTTAGGCATTTTTTTTTCTTTCATTTTTTTGCAGTATTTGCCCAATAATCCTTTTATCTTTTATATTTTTTCACCGCACTAAACCTTCTCTTGTATATATATATATATACATATAAAAACAAATAAAACAAAATAATAATAATAAATATACTAAATCGATAACTGTGTATTTAAAACAGAAATCCACCAAACTAATGAAACATTACCAGTCTTTTTTGTAACATTCTTCATAGAAACTTTTGTTAAAAAAATTTTAAAATGTTACTTAATTATACGATATATAATATTTTAACATCATATTTATTAGGGATATTATTACAAATATTCTATAAAAAAACTAGATAGCAAATAAATACCAGATATATTTTTAATCACCTAATTGATTTAAGATACCTAAAATAATTTAAGTGTAACAAATTTTCCACTTGGAAAAAAAAAAAAGATAAAAAGAAACAAGAAAAAATAAAATGCATGATCCGATCATTAACTACCGAGTTAACTCCCAAATTTATCTATATCTCCGTATTAAAACCCGTCACCTAATGTCCCAACCCAGATACTTTTTGTTTTATTACTTGTTTTATTATTTATTTATCATTCTTATTCAGTTTTTATTATTCTATGTCGAATTTTAACTGTTTTAAAATAAACTAGCTTGCACATAGGCATTACAATGCCTCGGCGAGTCATCAATGTTTGCATTCAAATTTATACTGTATTTGTACTTATTTCATTGTACTATTTTATTAACTTTCCTCGCATATATTTACGACTGAACTCTTATGTACTTAGGAATACTTCCATTGGCATTTACGTAAACATCTTTTGTACTTCCGTTTAGTTATTTCCTGTGACAAACATTCATATTATGTTAATTTATATAACTTCCAATAATATCGCATACAGGTCAGCAAAGTAATGTGTACAAGTTATACATATTAAAGATGACTATCTTTAGTCTTTACAATGCTGATCTAACAGTCCATATCCCGTTCATAAATGGAGACACCGATGATCGCTCGCTACTTACGTAACCGCTGTTAATGTATTATGAGTAGTCTCTGTTATTTGGCAGTACTTTATTTACCTTCGATATTAGTTTATCATAAATTTATTCTGTAAAATTTCCTAAAATTATAAGTTAGAAGACATTTTTATTGTATTATATACACAGCTAAGGTAGGCTGTGTTATACAGATGAAATAAATAAAATATTTAAATATACCACAGTCCATATAAAACTTGAATGATACTGTAACGATAGTTTAATTTATTAATAGTTTATTTATTTATAACACATTATTTTTAATTTATGTATGACGTACTTATCAATTTATATAATACTTATGCACTGATTCACAATTCAATTCTAATTTATTTATTTATAACAATTTATGTGTTCAGTCCAATACTTTATTCTTAACTTATCTGCCGTCTTCAAACTTGCGATATTTATATCCAGCCAACTCTGTAACCATAATACTCTGGGCTTTCTAGACGCTCTCGAATTTCACCCGAAAATTCCATCTCTAGACTCGACGACCACGTATTGCTTGTTCTGTTATTTTTTTGAGAAACGGTGTTTCGATCATAAGTCGGTTGGCTGTTTAAGGGTTGGCTTCGCGTCACAATACTCAGGGTGGAAAAGAGTCTAGAATGCGTCACGCATCACATTTAGTTTATTCATATGATTTGATTTTATTGGCTTTATAACAACATCGACAAGAATTAAAAAGGCTTTCGTGGACATAACAGGTATGTCACATCTAATTTGTTATAAAAACATAATTTTTGAGAACTTACAGTAATGTTGAAAAATGTATTAAGGTGGCGCTCTAATATCACTGGAACGTCTACATTGTTTCATCGCAAAAGTAAACGTTTTTACGCCAGGCATTAAGGTGGTTAAATGTCTTTTTTATTCCATAGTGGGAATGATAACACACTCTGGCCATTCCAGCAACAACTTCCATAGAAAGGTATTTTTGAGAGCAGCCTTGATAGTAAGAAAAAGAAGTGTTCCCAATGACCCAAGGTATCAAATTCAATGGCTAATATGAAACAAAATCAAATAAATCAAGTTTAGGTAGACCGGAAAAAACTTAATATTTTCATAAAAACGTAAGTTTATTCCGAAATACACAAAAAGAAACAAGTACAATTTAATGGTATTATTCTGAGACATCTCTTCTCCGTTTCTACCAGGAGTGACTAAAAAAAACCGGTAAACTCTTTCTTTTACATCCAGGAACGAATAAAATTCTGCTTTTATGTTTTTTACTACTTATATTGAGTATTTTTTTAATTTTTTATCAAATTTTAAAGAAAATCATTTTTATTAGGTCTGTGAACTTGGCACCACAACATTGCAAAAAAGGGTCAAAAATGTGTGTGAGGTTTGTCCATCGTTTGCCTATTATTACCCATGAAATATATTTTTTTGCCCACCCTCTGTTTTTACAATACATCGAAGATAATTTCCGCGGGCCAACTTCCAAACAAAAGTTGAAATTTTCCTAATTTAATTTCACGTCATAATACCATTTCGTTTGCCCACGTTTGCCCATAAATTAGTATTTTCAAAAAAAAAAGAGATTTGAGAAAATTAAAAAACAAAAAAAAATATTCACAAAAATGCAATATGATAACTGCATTAGATTATCATTCATTAGCCCATGTTTGTCCATTTTTTTATTTTACAAATTTCCATAACGGTCTTCAAAAAAATTTTTATTAAACAAGGGATTTGATGACAATTCTACTATCCGAGATTTGTACGAGTTTATTTGTTATAAAAAAAATGGGCAAACATCAAAATAACGCCAAAATAATTGAAATTTGCTGAAAAATGTATTCTGAGGATTGTCCATTTAAAAAAAAAAAAGTTTATCCAATAGGGAGGCTTAATCTCCGATAATATTGCATTTCTGTGTTATTATTATAAAAAAATGGGCAAACATTAAAATAATTCCAAAAAAAGTGTAAGTTGCTAAGAAATGTATTCTGAGGATTGACCATTTTTTAAAAAAATCCTCGTCCAATAGGAGGGCTTAATCTCCGATAATAGTGCATTTCTCTGTTTTTACTTGATATAAAAAAATTAGCAAACATCGAAATGATTTCGAAATAAGTGTAAGTTGCTAAGAAATATATATATTATCTCGATAATAGTGCATTTCTGTTTTTATTTTATATAAAAAATGGGAAAATATCGTAATGATTCAGAAATAATTGTGAGTTACTACGAAAGGTATTCTGAGGATTTCCCATTTAAAAAAAATCCAAGTCCAATAGGAGGGCATAAACTCCGATAATAGTGCATTTTTGTTTGTTTATCTGATATAAAAAAAATAGGCAAACATTAGCTAACGAATGATTATCTAATGCAGTTATCATATTGCATTTGTGTGAATATTTCTTTTTGTTTTTTTTTTATTTTCTCTCATTTTTTTTTTCTGAAGGAACTAATTTTTGGGCAAACGTGGGCAAACGAAATGCTATTATGCCGTGAAATTAAATTATGAAAATGTTAACTTTTTTCTGGAAGTTGGCACGAGAAAATTATTTTCGATATATTGTGAAAACAGAGCGTGGGCAAAAAAGTTATTTCATGGGCAATAACGCGCTAACGATGGGCAAACCTCACACACATTCTTGACCCTTTTTTGCAATGTTGTGGTGCCAAGATCACAGACCTATTTGTATTTACATGGACACACAAAGAAAATTAGAGTCACTAACGAACTACCCGCTATCAACAGTGCGTTTGGAGAACCTTACAAAAACGAAAACAGAAATCCGTAACTTGGCCATGGTCAATGTGATTACTTATCTTTAGTCTTCATATTTTAAGTTAAACTCACAAAATCAATTCAAAGTCGAGTATTTTTGATTAGCAACATACCTTTTTATGTATTTGTATCTTTCGAGTATCAGAATTATACTTTTTTGAGAATATATTTTAATAATGTTCAAACAATTAGAAAAATACTTACTAAATCTAAAGTGCGTTGAAACTTTATTGCGAGAGGTGGTAAATCTAACATTTTTGTCTTTATCGACGTCTTTTGTATTCTCCATCATTCTGACTTTTTTCCACATTTCAAAGAGTATGACAGCACATATAAGGCTGTACTCGATAGTACAAGGAAACAAAAAAGGACTGGCATTAGTTACTAGGGTACTCATAACCTGCTCCTGGCAATTTCGTGTCTTATTTGCAAGATTTGAAGAGTTCCTGTGCTCTAAAAAAAACAAACATCATTAATAATGTACGATATACTTATTTACTAAAATATACAAATTAGAGGCGGAAATTTTTAAAAAGGAAGAAAGTGTATCTACAGATTCGCCTCTGAAATGATCATGAAAATATTGCCAATAAAAAAATTTTGCATTACCTGCCAAATGATGAATTTCGTGTTTAGTCTCTTCAACTAAAACGTATAACCATTCACAGAGATTTGTTGCTATCATGTGCATGATACCAAATCTGGCGACCAACTTGTGTTTATTAAATTCAATATCCTGCAACGGCATAAGTATTTGTCAAACATATATGAAAAAATAACATAATGAAAAAAATTGGTTTCCATCACAAATGGCTAAAAATATTAACTTTTAAGAATATTTATACACAGTTATACAAAACTCCTCAGAGCTCTGAAGCAGTAAATATAATTACAAATTAAATGTTTTTTTTTTTTACTTTTTTGCATAACCTAATTTCATAATAATGTTTTATTTTATATTTTTGGAAGTGAAAAACAAAATATTTCACAAAAATTGTCAAACTAGTTTTACTTTAAATTTGTTGTTTAAATAAGCTAATCAACAGTATCTTCCATATATAAATCATACAATCAGGTTACAGGGTCAAAGATTTTAATGAACCCGAAGGAAACATGGTAATTTTTAAAAAAACTAGACGTTAAAAATATTAACAAATCACCATTGCCACCTGAGATAAGTAATCCCAATGAGTTGAATCATTTTTTTGTTAATGATTCCAGGGATGATCGTAAACCAGACAAAAATATTATAGAATACTACAAAAATAATGTAATATCAACTGGAATATACTATTTTATTTACTCATATTATACAGGAAGAATTGTTCCATATATTAAAAAATATTAAAACAAAAGCGGTAGGCTTTGATCAAATAAATATTGAAATTGTATTACTTTGTTATCCATTTATTGTTCCCTACTTAACATATATTATTAACCCGGCGTTGGTGTGAAGGGGTATGGGATACCCCATATGATCTGTTTAGGCATGTAACTTTTAAATTCAATTCTGTAGCGCCATCTAACGTCTAGTAGCTTGAGCTAATACGTTGCCCCACATGATGTGATATTGTGGACGACTGGGTTGTGCGCCATTCGTAAACTAACTACCGTCAAAGTCGCTTGGGGTATGCCATACCCCACCACACTTATTACGTAACTATTTTTGGCGTAAAGCCATATTGACACTGTGAAATTAATTCAGGTTTATCCAAAAAATGTATTATTCTCTTTTTAAGGACTTTTTCAACAATCTTTGCTATGTTGGATATCAATAAAATAGGTCTATAGTTTGACATCTCTTACTTACTCCCTTTTTTATGCAGTGGTTTAACAATACCTACCTTGAAAACATTAGGGAAACAACCTGTAACCATGGAATTATTAATTAAATAAGTTAAAGGTGTTGAAACTTCTTCACATATATTTTTTAGCGTCTCAGATTTAATTTTATCGTGTCCTGTTGATTTTTTATTCTTAAGTTCATTAATCATATTTTTTATTTCAGATTCTGTAGCAGGATTTAGATACATTGAACTGCACATATTAGTGTTTTCTCTAAAATCATTTTGAACATCTTTTACTTGTGGTATTTCTGATGCTAATATTTGGCCAATATTACTAAAATATTTATTAAAATGGTTAGCTATTTCTATTTTCTCTGTTACTACAACCCCGTTTACTAGTTTAATGTTATCTATTTTTGTTTTAGGTCTAACAGAATTGCAAGCCTCGTTTACTGTGTCCCAAAGCCCTTTCGATTTATTTTTATTTTGTTCAATGTTATTCTGAAAATAAGTTGTTTTTCATATGTCGATTAGTCTTTTTGTGTATTTTTTTAAATAATTATACCTAGTTTTTAATTCTATATCATATGGATTTTTTATTGTAGCTTTATATAACTTATTTTTTTCGTTTATTGTTTTTGACAATTTAGGCGTAATCCACTTATTTCGCGAAATATTTTCTTTCTTTATATTTAATGTTTTTGTGTTTTTGTTTATATATTTATTTAGGGTTTGAACAAAGTGATTTGCCGTAATACTTGGGTCATTATTTTGATATAAATAATTCCAATTTTCGTTTTGAAGGTCCAGTTTTAAAGTTTTATAATTAATATACTTCTTTTCATTAGCTTTTATTTTAGTTATTTCTTTTTTATTATAATTTTCAATTTAAAAATGTATGGAAGTTAGTGAATGATCTGTGATATCAGTGTGAAAGATGTATGATTTAATTAGATCTTCGGTAGAATAACTTTTACTTCGGACATAAAAATGATCAAGACAAGTTTTGGATTGAAGTCTAGGTTTGTTAATATAAGAAATATACCCAAATGAACTTAGTATATTTTTATATTCTTCTACATGTCTCTTATCTGATAAAATATTAATATTTATATCACCTACAAAAATATGCATATAGGTGTTTTGTAATTTTTCCAGAAAACTGGGTAAATTTTCATTAAAAGTGTCTACACACGTATTTGGAGATCTATATATTGAGCTTATGGTAATACTTTTATTGTATTTTAAAGTTACATTTAGTGTTTTTATGTCAAATAACCTCATGATCTCATAATTATATTCAGTGGTTGATTTTATGTAAATTATAATACCATCATTTCTGTTTCTATCGCCGTTATTATATAATATATCGAAACCAGCAATAGAAAAAACATTAAGATCATAATTTTTGTTATATGTTTCTGTTAAGACTAGAATATCTATATCGATTTCAAACTGTTGCAAAAGTATTGACAATTCATCCCAATTTTTTTCTATACTATTAATATTCATATGATAAATTTTAAATAAATTAATATTTGATTCACTACAGGTTTCTGTACTAAACAGCTTAAGATTATCGATTATATGTGTATCTACAGGATTATCTTTATATTGTTTGATGTAAGAATCCATAATCTTAGATTATTTATATTTTCTTATTTAAATTTTTAATGGTAATAATAACTAAACAGAATTTAAAGTAGCAAAAAATATATATAAAGTAATTAAAGGAAAAAAATGACAATGTCTTATTTTATGTTTCGTTTTGGTCTACCAGTTCCTGTGTTACCAGTTATAGATGAATTTGATGAAGTCGAGTTGTTTCTTGATTTACTGTTCTTATCTTCTTTTTTCTTTAAATTTTTCTTATCGCTTTCTCTACTTTTAACTATTTCCTTTTCTTGGCGTTCTGTTTTCGCGTGCGTATCTTTGATTTCCTCTTTTTCTTGTTCGTCTTGCACGTTTTCATTCACTGCACTTTCGTCTGTAACCGCGTTAATGTTTTTTACGTTTGTTGATAATGGTGTTGGTATTGCAAATAAATCTAGATTGTCTTCATAATATGTTAAGCTGGTTATTGGAGTTTCAGGTGCACTATTGGGTCTAGGTCGTTCGATTTCAGGAGTAGTTGGGCGATCGGCACATAATATGTTTTCAGCCAGATCCATTTTTTTTTAAAGCATCCAAAGTGAAGACTTTTTGATTAACAATTAGAGTACGACCTTTTATTTTAGCAAAATAATTATGAGATCTTGGGTTTTTTTAGATGTTTTCTTAGTATTTTTGCATCTAGTCTGTCTTGATAAGATAAATCTTGAGTAAAGTATATGTCTGTACCTTTAAGTTTGTAACAATTTTTCAAAATCAGATTTTTTTTTCAGACAAGAGACAAACTCAACTTTTATTGCTCTGTTGTTACCACTTTTTATTGGATAAATATTATTTATATCATCGATAGTTACATCTAGATTCAGTAACTCTCTAATTTTTTCTAAAACTACATTAACAAAGTCTACATTTTCGTCTATTTTAAAACCAAAAATCAGTAAATTATTTTTTCGCAATTGCCTGTCGTAGTATATACATTTAGATTCAAGTTGTTTGTATTTCTGATCAAGATCATCTACCCTATTTAAACATAAATCAATTTTTTTAATTATTTTTTTATTTTCTGTTTGAATCTCTTGTTTTAATTCGTGTCTAATTTGTTCGCCCTCTGTTTTAATTACATTTAATATTTTCTGTAGAAGCTCAGCATTTGTTAGATCTTTATCGCCCACTATTCTGACATATTATATTATATATAATTTGATTTCCAAAATTCGTCCGCTACTGGTGTAAATATAGGTGATATTAATTCTGTTTGAGAGATAGTACCTATCTATATACACTAGTTTTTTTGTGACTGTAGTCTTATCGCTTTTACTGATTTTTATTTAATTATTGATGCAATTTCTTTGGAAATTAATTAACACTTACAGTTCTCAGATGTATGTACTTGTAGGCCACTATTTTATGAATCTTGTAAGACTAATTTCAAGATTTTCCGTTCACTCTAACCTATCACAAACTGGATTTGTTTAGGAGCACTTTATTTTGTCTGTTTGACTGTGAATGATAGTCTATAATTTTTGTTTATAATTATTACTTAAAATTATTGAAAAATTCGAAAAATGCGGAGAGAGTCAAGTTATCATATAGAAGCATTCTATATTCTAGAACTCGCCATAATATGATAGGATCTCTCTATAGTCTATAATTTCTGTTTATTATGAACACTTAAAATTTTTCAAACAATGCTAGAGGCTTGAACTCTTCGGGATTCCATACAGAGATAGTCTAGTCATTAAGAAGCGTTATATATTCTAAAACTTGTCATAATCTGCCCACCACGGTCTATAATTTCTGTTTACTAACTTAAAATTTTAGAAGAAGTGCTAGAGGCTATAATTCTTTGGGTGTCAATACAAAGAGATTGATTATATCATTTAGAAGCAATATATGGGGTGTTAGTAAATAAGTGCGACAAACTTCAGGGGATGGTTCTGCATGAAAAAATAATGACAATTTGCTATATAAACGTATGTCTGAAAATGCTTCGTTAAAGTTTTTCTTAAAAACTGATGATTTACTTATTGCTCTGAATCCCGTCGAGATATGCAAATGAAATTTGGTGAGCTTTAAGAGGTGGTTATTGCGCATTTTTTGACATGCATTTAAGAACTTTATGTTCATCATTGGCGCGCATACGGGTAATGATCTCAATTATTTTAAAGGAAAAAAAAATGGTACGCCACTGAGATATTTCAAATTAAAAATCACTTTTGAGTTCCTCGTTCAATCTGTGACAAAAAATCTTTTCGTATGGGGCATATCTTGACCGGTTTCAGAGCAATAAACAAATCGTCAGTTTTTAAGAAAAACTTTAATCGGAAAACGAAGCATTTTCAGACATACGTTTATATAGCAAACTGTCATTATTTTTTCATGCTGAATCACCCCCTGAAGTTTGTCGCACTTATTTACTAACACCCTGTATATTCTAGAAATGGTCATAATATGACAGCATCTCACTGTAGTCTATAATTTTTATTGAAAAATTGCTAGAGGCTAGAACTCTTTGGGTCTCAATGCAAAGAGAGTCGAGTTATCATTGAAAAACGTTATAAATTCTAAAACTCATCATCATAAAAACTGTTAAACGTAGAGCTTTGGCGCAATAGAGATATTTGATCCATAGGTCAAATTATACAACATATCAAAATTTCGTCAAATTCTGATCGAATGATATTTTACATTTAAAACGTGCCCCCTCCTTTATGATTTCCATTGACATATTAGTTGTATTTGCCTGTTGCTTATTCGTTTTCATTATTTAAAGTAAATGTTTTCTTTTAAATTAATCATAAATTATATATTTATTAGGAGAAGAAAAAATGGTTCAGATAAAAAAGCATATTATTAATAAATAACATGGTAAATTAAAAATATAGGCTTTTATTAAAAAAAATTGACCTTGAAATTACCTTAAAGGTCACCAGCAAAGAAAAATTAAAATACGTAATTTTTTAGAATTTACGAATCAGGTTAATTTCACCTAAAAATGCTTCTACTTACTAGAGATGATAAATAGTTATAGCCTATAAACTGAAATCCTGTATATTAAATATTGAATAAAGTAACTCTGCCAGTATTCTTTACAAATTTCTGATATTCTATTTCTGCTTAATATTTCGGGATGCAACTATAGTTGATATATTAATGAAACTATAGATTGAACCAATCGCATACATTCCTTTGAATTTACGAGTAATTTCGTGATATTAAATCAAATTCCACAACAATTTCTCTACCCTCATTAAACATTGTTGCAAATCGATTAAACATAAAACGATACAACAATGGTAGTTTCATAAAGTTATACCTTGCTATTAAGAAATATAAACTGGACTTGAACCAGCGTAAGGACCATCCTCGTAACGGGAGTTATGGCCTGAAGGATGTTGGGATTGCTGCATTCAGGATTACTTTTGAGTTCGAAGTATCGACCAAATTCTAGTCCTGAATATACCATGCTGCCTATTCCAAATGCTGTAATAAACATAAAATGATTTAAGAAGATATAAATATTAAAAATATAAAACAAAAATGTTATAAGTAGATAAATGACTAAAAAGAATTAAGCTTTCCTAACTTGACATTTAAAAGTACTATAAATATTACCGCCTTCATTTATTTATAACTAGCAATGAAATCAAATCAACAGAGAAGCCAACCACACATTTGTGGACTGTGTCAACATTCCCAGTGATTACTAGGAAAATATTAACGTCGCCACGGGTGCATCTTCATAGCGGCTATAACTGCCTCCGTGGCGATGTTAATATTTTCCTAGTAATCACTGGAAATGTTAGCACAGTCCACAACACGAGGTTGCTGCGAGGTAATGGCGGCCGACGAAACTCAGCCACTAATATTCCACAAATCACAGGCACCAAACCAAATGCCCTCACAGTAATGGAGAAAACTGGACTAATCCTCCCAGGCGGAGATGGCTCACAAACCACAAAATTCTTCCGTAATCCCAAAGATGCTCAACAGCCAAAAGCAAAACCGTCCAACTTAGCTATATAAAAAAAAACGTTCTTTTTCAAACAACGCCGGCTTCAACTTCCCGTCTATCGCAAGACATCGCCGTAGACCGAACGTTAGCGACCAATTACCTCTCGATCTAGTCGTCACCTCACCTCTCTGACCAAACAACAAATTACATGTGCTTACAAACCAAAATTACCAGAACTCGAATTTTATAATAACAAAGGGTGTTGTCTTCATCAAGAATACCATATTAAAACAAATTGATGCATCTATTGCTGTCTACGACACGCACAAATCAATAAATCAGGTCGGGAATATCATGAAACAGGCGAGTATCAATTCTGGAGTGACACAATTTTTAATAAACAAGCGAACGAACCCAGAGCTGCAAACGAACGCAATAATATTTCCGAACGACAAGCAAAGCCCAATAAAGAAAGAAGAAAAGATCATTAACCTAACCATTTTGACGGAGACGTCAAAAATAACAACAAAGGTGTTATTAATTAGGTTTTCTACAACTTACCAAGAACCAAAAGATAAGGACAGCTTTAATATTAGATTGGAAGAATATATGTAATTGAAAGATATGAATCTATGACAATTTACTAAATAAATATTGGAAATTTCGCTAATAACTTGAGTGAATATTCAAAATACAGGTACTGAAAAAGCGATACATGTTGAAGAATAAAGAATAAATTCCCTATACAAGGTATGATGTATATTTAGCTAATAAACAAGTACTGAAACAGGGTAATTAATTCAATAATAGCAGCAAAACTGTCAAATTTTAGGGATGTTCAACTTAATGGACTAAAAGTGAAACGAACCCATTGCAAAAGAACACAAGGATATAAAAAAAAACGAAGAATGTAGTAAATAAACACCCTTATTTTGATAAAAAGGTAAGCGTACACTAAAATTACACATACAAGTGGCCATCAGAAAGTACTTGTGTTAATGTTAAAACTGGATCGTTACACTAGTTTTAGAAGAACACCTGATATCCACGCGGTTTGTTGTAAAAATAGCACATGTTCATATATAGATAGTTCAGTTCTGAGGTAACTAGATGTTGTTGTTGTTTATATTTTGGAATGGCTGCAATCGTTTTACTTTCTTAGTAGAATTTTGCCTACTTTGACCGATTTTAAGATTCAATAGTATCTAAATATTGCAGAAAATATTCAACCCAGTACCTCTGGTGTTGTTGGTAACAAAAATTGTGAAGTTCGGCCTACAGATCAACCACAAAAACGAAAAAAGAAAATTTATAGGCGGGAAATTATAAAACTTGCAAAAGTAAATGGGCTAGAGCACAAAACACACAAGGGAGACAAAGTCGTTAGAGCCAGAGCAATAGGAACTGATTGCAGGTAAGTTTTTAGTTAATCAATAACATACTTTTGTTTTGACTGTAACTTTTGTTTATAGATACAAGCGTTATAGATGTTTCAAGAATACAACACAAGAACAGCGTTCCGAGTTGTTTAACATGTTTAATGGTATGAGGTCAAAAGATGAACAGGACTCATACCTACTTATCTGAACCTATTACCGTAATACCTGTCCAGAGACGTCGCAGTCGAATTTATCCAAATATAAACAGAACTAGTCCACCACATATGGCCTCTTTTAAGTACAAAATAGTACTACCTGGAAGTGAAGTCAATGTGTGCGCTAAAGCTTTTCGTATTTTCGTTAGTGTAACTAAAATGCAGCTTCGTCGGATTAGAAATAGCCTAGCTATAAATTGATTTTCACCGAGGGACGGCCATAGAAAACACGCTAATAGGCCAAGAAAGACTAAGCCATTCGACGTAGAAATGATAATAACACATATTTCTTCTTTCAAGGGCCGACAGGGTCATTATACATGAACACTTGACTAAAATAAAGTGTACCTTCCATCAGAGTTAAATGTGAACAAAATGTATATTGCCTTCCTAGAACTTCACCCAACAACGACAGTTTCTCACTTCGTTTATTATAAAATATGTCAAACTCGATTTAACTTATCCTTCGCTTACCCTAGATGCGATACTTGTACGTTTTGTGACGAAACTGAAACTCAACTAAAAGAAGAAAATTAAAACTAAATGTCGAAGCAATCGTAATGTATCAGCAATAGCTTTCGATTTTATGCAGAATCTGCCTTTGCCCAATCTAACAACAAAGTATTTTATAGCAGACATCTTTGGCATTATGCGTTTGGAATACATGACATCGGAAGTAGTGACGTTAGTATGTATACATATTATGAAGGGATGGCGAAGCGCGGTCAAAACGAGGTGACATCCATGATATTTCCCTATATCAAAAATCATATTCAAGAAAGATGAAATCTGGCTCTTCTCTGATGGTTGTTTAGGCCAAAATAAAAACTACGTTTTCATTTGTTTCGTGTACATACTTGTGCATGTTCTAAAAATAGCCTCTGAGATAACACCCATCTTCTCAGTTCGAGGACAATCTTATTTACCTTGCGATAGTGACTTTAGCCTCATTTTTCGTTCAAAAAAAGTTGTTCCAGTTGTTAAAGTTGTTAATGTTCCAGAAGAATGGAACGACCTTATACGACAAGCAAGATGTAAGCCCTCTCCACTTAGGGTGATAAATGCTGGAAAAGGAACTGAATGGTTTCTTATTGACGAAAGTTTAAAATCCTTCTTTTTAAAAAATCCTAAACCAAAACTTTCACTGAAACCAGCGCGAATGTATCGAGTATCACAGTAGTATCTGGATCAGGTTCTAGTACGTCAAAGTTATCATGGTCCTTGGACGTTTCATATCATTGCAGCGAAAAGAAACTCACAAGAAATAGCTCTAATACCAAACAAACGGCAACCTCAATTAAGCAATGGAAATCACTAAATATCTTGAGAATCCTCTTAATAAAGAATTTTACCTTAACCTAAACCCACAAATGGAGGAAAAAAATCTTCAGATATTAAAATCATTAGTGACGATAACAGCAGAGGTAGAGAATAAAAAAGTGTTTTTTTTTTATATAAGGACATGTGTTACTTTTGCAATATTCGTAAATTTGTTCAAATTTTTCGTATGTTTTGTATTTTCAATCAAAATTAATATTAGAAATGCTTCTGGCTAAAACATTATTTTCAAAAAGCATCGTTACAAAAATGCATACTTACACTGTAAGAAGGTGAGCAGTTTTTCTTGATTTCTAATCTAGTCTGAACAAACTCTAGTAAAATATAATATCTCTAAACACAATAGTAGGCCACCAGAAATTTAATTTCTATTTATTGGTTGAATAAGATACAAGAAATGCCGTGAAAGCAATATACCTGTATAGTTGTTTTAGATTTCGTTTTAAAATACCTAGGTGCTTAACGTATCTTGAGATATTATTATTTTCTATGTATCAGTTAATAGTTTTGGGATTTTAAACACGAATACACAAAATATAAAAAATACCTGACAGAATTATAAAAGATTCTTCTAAACAATCTGCAAATCTAAATGCACAGACAAAATTGATGTAATTTTGTTGCAACAATAAGATGAAATTTTCCTTGAAATTGTTCATGTTTGGTAGACAAAACAGCGATCAAAATTATAAAAACGACGTTGTTAAATCCGTCAGAAATATCGGTGACTTGGATTACCCAAAACGTTGCTAAGAAAATTTGGAATAAGTGAAAGAGTAGAGAAAGACCAACATGGCTTTCACAACGTTCTCTCGTCAAAAAAGAAAATGCATAGGTTATTTCCATAATGTCCTATAATTATATTAGAAAAGAGAGTATTTTGAAAATAACTCAAAAACAACTCATTTCGCAATAAAGAACCAATATCGTGAACTTTAAATTTAGAATATAACAGTTTTATTTATTTACTGCCCAGACAACATATTATATTTCTGGCATATACCACCAATCCATCTATTTGTCAAAAGAGTTATGAAATATTTACATAATATATTTCATAATTTACATTCTAGAAAGACATTCCAGGCATATCTATTTTTTAATATGCCCAGAATATCCATTTTTTATATTTTATAGATATCTCTGTAAAATCTTAAGTGTTATATTAATCTATTTTGTTTTATTATTTGTAAGTATAAATGAAGACATAGCTTATAAAGATTTAAATTGCGCAGAAACATAAACTTAGAACTCTAGAATGTAACCTCAAATCAAGAAAACTTATTTATAATTAATAAAAAAAATGAAACCTCCGAGATGGAATTATCATCTTCTTCATAGATAAAATAAGTATCTATAGTTTTCTTATAATCTAGACATAAAAGAGACAAAAGAATTCTAAGAGTCAAAAGAATGCGCCGACTACAAATTAATAGTTGGTAGTAAAAATAACCTACACTCTGTTCGCTATACTTACGCGGGTTTCGGATTAACACAATTATGCAAATTATTCATTGACAACCAGTTCCAATAAGCATCTTCCCAAGAAATTAGGTAAAATTGCCCTGATTGTCAGATTTAAATTAAAATAACATT